CAATTGCGATTTTCGAAAATTTTCAGTGTATATGTATGTAGATCAGGAATTTCTATAATTTTGAAAACTGCGATAATGCGTTTTAAAAAAAACTTACACTACTCTGACTTTATTAGGAAATTTTTTACATTGGGATGCCTATTCCCAAGTTTTATATGTTCACTAGACGTCAAGCCTGAGTGAGGATACTTTATAATAGTATAAAACCGTTTATATAATCTAATCACAATATATGCACCAGGAAAAAAAACTATTATACAATTATTACATGAGTCATTAGAGTTCAAATTATATAGAATATGGGGGAAGCAATTATTTTTGGGAATCATACACGTGATTTCTTCTTTATAATGAGACGATAAAAGCGTTTGGTTGATTTGCATTTTTTGAGTTCATTGGGTAAACCGACCAACAATTGATTAAACTCATCGTCTGTAATCCCAAGAAGCGGAGTCATGAAGATTTTCATTGATTCAAAACCTTTCTTCTCGTATATCAATGCCTAAAATAAAATTAAAAAAAAAATTTTAATCATAAAATCGTAATGCAATATTGTTGTTACACAGACTTTTCGTCTAATTACTTACAATATCTCCAATTCGACTCTCATAATGTAGTATTTTTTCTTCTTGCGAGACTATAGTAACAGTATTATGTTCACTAAATGCCGTGTCTATATTTTTACTGGAATGGGTATTAATTCCTGCATCGCTAAAATGATACACTATATAACATTTTGATATGGTATGGCAAAGGATTAATAAATCAAGGAGCTATAAAGTGTACGCAACACAAACATTTTTTACAGAAATGGAAAATCTGCTTACCACAATCATTAAATTTCTGAGCGATAACTCCTGGCTGAAAGAATGGATAATCCAATTCCATGAGTTCGATGTACCCTCCAGGTTTAGTCACTCTGATTAATTCTTTGACCACTTTATCCTTCCATGCATGCCAATCGATGCAAACTACGAGAAATCCTTGTCGAACAAAATCAAACGTGTTATCTGGAAATGGTAGACCATCCAGGATGTTACATTGGAAAAACGCGGTATTGGCTGGACCGTCGTCATAGAACAAAGGAGCTATATCTATTCCCACAAACGTCGAAAGAGGATAGTCTGAAGCCATGTTTAGCATCCATGCTCCTGAACCGCACCTATTGAAATGACAATGCGGATATCGAGTTAGTTTTTGTATGTATATACTGTATAATCAACACCCCATGTCAATATATCTTACCCGACATCGAGAACATTGGCTCCGAAAGATAACTCCTCATCAAGGGGTGCAGAAAAGTTGTTACCCCATAACATTCTATATACACAATGCAATCCATATAACCTTTCTGCCTCTTCTCTGTCGCTGGGCATACAGCATTTTAACGAGCTATCATTCATAAAACGTCTTCCGTCGATTTCCAAAAATTCATCGAAAATATTGTCTATGGTTTTAGCAGACTCGAGTGGATCGAATAATGAGGATTGATTTGAACTGGCAAGAGAACTGGTTTCCGTATGGTCCTCACTATCATCTAACATTATGTTCGGTACCGATTCTGGAAAGTATGTAAAGGTGTTTGTGTTGATCATGTTTTTTTGATGAGTGGGCGATTCTTTTGGAGGGGGAAGGGTTTAAATATAGTTAGCTTAAAACCTATGACGGGAAAATTTCGTCACACGGTTTATGCCAACTTGGCCGAGCGAGTATTTACTGGATAGCCAATAATTAAATAATCAAGCGGGGGAAAATATACAGTATGTCAATAAGGTTAGCTTCTATTGGTATAATATATATAATCACTTAATAAACAAATGAATAGCGAATTAAATCGTTGCTATCAAAAAGTTTCGGGATATCACGCACAAACGCACGCACACTCATATCACACACACCACGCACACATCACATACGTATACAGGAGGTTTTGAGCGGTCGTCTGTTTTGGTCATTTTCAAAAGACTGTAGAAAAACTCTGTGTCATGTATTCATAGTCACAATAGTCACATGTGTTGTCACATTTCGAGCTGCTAAGTTGATACTGTATATTGTCTTGAGCAATAGAAATTTTTTCATTTGCGTTTCACTTCCTCATGGATAAAGGTTTTTCATTAACGTTAAATTCCGAAACTTGTGCATTTAATTTTGCGATCGAACGCTAGGGACATACATACGCATTGACTATCGTTCCCCAAAACTATTTGATTTAATGATAAGTATAAGCCTCATTACACTAAATAATGCGATAACGGAATATAATTTGATGAGAGGTGAGTACACCGTACTATAAACTTGAGTACGGGGGGTTTTTTTCTTTTTTCTCAACATATCTTGGCGAGGGACAAAAAAATAAAAACGTAAAATTAGATGCACATCTCCTTTGTGATATCTGATACATAAATTTTAAGTTCGACCTGCGGTCTAAGCTTTCTTTGGACATGGAAAAAAAAATTTTTTTTTCTACTTAATTTAAGCACAAGACGATAGTAATCGTCGGGAAAGGTCGTTTGATGAGGCAAAGAACAGGGGAAAAGGTTAAGCTTGTATTGATACTATTACATATATGTCTACGTCTATCAATTGCGTTCTGATCGAGCTACGGATTTTGGATTAAATTAGTCTTCATGTTATGATGACTAATACTAATGGATCAGCAATTTCCGAAAGAGTAGTATACGCAACGCATCTCATTAATAATGCTTACCTAAGTCAACTAAACAAAAAACACATCACATTCCCACAAGGCGTCGTCACATTTATGGTGTAGAAGAAGAAGAAGAAGAAGAAGAAGAAGAAGAAGATAAAAATAAAATCGTACAAACAGTGAACCTGTTTATGAGAATTTTATTCGCTCGTATGCTCCTATTTATTTCCTTTGGAAATTGGTGAGCTTTAATATACACACAAACTGGTAATCACAACCAGTTTTTTTGTTATAATTTGGGAGAGTGTTACAAATGTGCTTTTCAATAACCGTAAAATTTTACTTGACGCCGTTTATGTTACATCAAATTATGCACAACAGTAGCATGCAATAGCACAAGGTATGGGCTGATCTTCCACGCCCCCAAACAGACATGCGCTCTCTGTCATACCCTGAAATAACTAATAACCCTACACACCAATAATAGCTCGTTGCTATACAGAACGAAAAGATAATCAATGATAAGCATACTCCACAATCGCAGTTTCCAGTAACATGTGAAATTGGAGTTCACAACAGATTAGAATCGACATACTAATACTGTATTAGCAAGAGCGTCGTCTCCAGTGGGAAGTTTCTGTTTCTAAGGGGTACTTTTGATTATCCAAAATAAGATATCGATGTCAGTAGTGGATGAACTTCACTGTATTACGTAGCACACGGAGACTAGTCTCTTAATTTTGCATCACCGAACACCGCCCCGCGAGATTAGCGGAACAAAGCCTTCGGTAATACACCAGATCTGGCAGAGGTTCCGACTACTAATGCAAACCACCAAAACATGTTAACGAGTAGCGTACCAAGATGTTTTACGTCACTACTGTAAAAGACGGTTAGGGCACAAAAAAACAAGGACTGATCATATTTGAACGAAAGAGTCAATGTAAAAAGTTACATTACTAATGGGGTATAAAACCGTTTTTCGACTAATGGATATTAGCAAGGACCTTTATTGATAACATGTACCATATTAATATGTATTATACGCAAACTAAACTAATAGGGTTAGTATTCCACTTGCGGGATATTATCGTTACAATAAATGTCTTACAATAATGACAGCGCGAGAATTAAAGAAGCTTAAATTTGAATTTTAAAAATTCTTACTAAAAAAATTATATCATAAGCAACAAATGCAATAATGATAATGCTAATAGTTTTTATTCATTTAATATCTTTGCTCTGCTCTATTATGTCAAACTATTAGATGCTTACGGAGAATAACATTGGCTTTTGTATTGTCAATGTCTCTTTTCACTGAAATGCCCACAACATTTATCTGTGTAGCCTTTTTACCTACACTTTGGTTGTAGTAAGTAATAAAAACAGGCGTTGAATAGCATGAGAACGTAATAATTTAATCAAAACAAGCTGTTGCTGTACGCGTGTACATGCTTGCCTTTCTCAATAATCATGTCTTCACCTATGCCTAAAATTAACAATTTTTGAACCAATCTATAACAAGTTCTCAGTTTACGTAACGAGATGACTAAGTTTTTGTTTGTTTCCACCAATTTATCTTTTACGTTCAACGTCGAAAAAAAAACAACAACAGTCCTGCCGAATACATTATTGGTAACGAAAAACGGATAAGAGTGACATCAATAAACGTTAGACCAATATACGAGTAAAGCGTTGAGAATACAATGTGATATTGCCACTTGTAGCACAATTTAAAAAGCACGGTCGTTTGATAAACTGCATTAAAGCTTTCCCATTATAATTATTGTTCAAGTGTGCGTCATTATATAATACGTAGGAACAAATCAATAATAAATTTAGACTGTTAAAAATGCCAAAAGAGGTTTTTGTCTGCCTAATGATATGACGAATATGCAAAATAGGATTTGCATAATTTGAGTTTTGTTGTTTGTATGCATTAACCCTGAGTGTTACGTAGCAATTTTTATATCCACTAATTCTTTTGTCAGGAATAATGTATTTGGAATTCGTTATACACGTAGTCACCCTCTGTTGTTTATTATTTCATAGAATAAAGTTCTGTACGCGCTTCATCATTAATGTTTGAAACTCTGTTGAGTGACAATATTGTTGTTGAATACTACTACTATTAAGTAAGAATACTTTGTCCAATTGGTGCAATAATCAGATCATTCATAAAAACAGTTTAATAATCACGTTGTTTACAAAAATAATGTATAAGATTTACAAATTCTTATTGCAGAAAAAGTTTTACACAAAAGAGACAAGTCTTGCGACTTCTTCTCCTTACCTAAACTTATGTAAAAACAAACTTTATCTGCACTTTTTAATAGGCTGCAAGTAATTTATAATAAATATATGTAACATTTGGCAAACTTCTCAGGAAAATCGGTATTAAATTAATATTTATAACTAAACTGTCGTAGACTCTTTATCAAGCTTTCTTATAACAACCCGA